ACACACGAGTTACAAAAACAGTCGGTTATGTCTGTGAAGGTAAACAGCTGGGAAATAAATCGCTTGTTTATTTTAGATCTGTGTGGCAGCAGCAATATACAGTAGCCTAAATAAATCAATAAATCCACTGCTCTCTTGTCTCCTCTAAGGCTGGGACTCTAAATAGTGTTCTGTGCTCGTCTATGCAGCCAACGACAGAACAGTTAGCATGTTTTGCTCAAACTTTCGCCATGGCATTAGAGCTGGTAAACCGTTGTCGCTTGCAAAATCAAAATGTCGGTGCCTTGAGTGGAAGTTTATAGATTAAAGGGCGGTAATATTATAATGAGATCACTTTGCACGTCACCAAGGGAGCGAAATCAGATGCGCTCGTTTTCTCAGACGCTTGCAGAAAAAGGCTTCCCAAAACAAAGTGATTGGGTTAATCTTTTTCACGTTTCCTTGGTTGGTAGATGCACCAGGGACCTGATTATAGCACTTAAAACCTGGAAAAGTCAGATTTTCATGATGTGTCACCTTTATGACCAAAGGGGTCATATGGTGCTTTTTTAAAGATCATTATTTGGTGTATTTGGTGTAACAGAATATGTTGACATGCTTTAATGTTAAAAAAAACCATTATTTTTCAAATACTGTACATTATTGTAGGTCCTCTATGCCCCGCCTCTCTCAAATGCTTCGTTTTCTACAAAGTCCCTCCTTCCGACAAGCGCAGTCTGCTCTGATTGAACCCCGCAAGCACTCGTCGGAAATGTAACGCCCCTTACCATAATCGCGAGCTTCATCTTTCAAAATAAATGTAAAGACGGAGCCCGAAAGGGGAACAGAGTCTCGTGACAGACACAGTGATGAATATGTGTTTGCAGTACACAAGACACGGTTAAGACAGCTGACTCCACTGTGATGTGTCTAGCGCTCTCTCTCTCGCACACACACGATGCGCAAAACTTGCATTTGAACAGTCAATAGCAAATACTTAAACTAATTAACAAAACAGTAGCTGATTCAGAAGCGCCAGATTGTCATAGCAAAGTCAGAATTACCTCCTCTCCTAGGTTCACGAAACGGTCGTCCATAAAATGCATTGCTGTTCTGTTGTAAGTAATCTTAAAGATTCCTAAATGCATCTACTTTCGGAAGGCCAAATAAAGTGCTTTTGCTTTCGCCTAGAAACACAGCGTCTCCCTGACATGGCTGCTTCAACACTAACTGCGGTTACTGAAACCACGACTTCTTCTTTGCATGAACATTTGGGCCACATTATGCAAATATTTCCACATAGTGAGGTAGATATGTGGGGGCGTGTTAGGGGGGCGTGGCAGAGTCTTAACTTTGATAAAGAATAATCTCTTTGGTTTTGAGACTTTAGTCTTTGCAACTTCAGGGATCTTATCTACGTACAATCAGCTTGTAACACTCCAAAGAGAAAGGAAAACTTGAAATCGCATCATATGACCCCTTTAAGGCAATAAGGCAAGAAGTAGGACTCGTGTAAATATCGGATCAGCTTTCCAGCGCTGGAGAGAACTCAAGGAGCGGAAGGCCTGCGATCGAACGCCGAGGTTGCTTTGTTTTTTTTCGATAGGTGAGTAACACCGTGTCTGCGGCGCAACAGCTAAAGTCTGTCTAGTACACTGGACGCGACAAAGCGACCGTTGAAAATCATTTGAAATTTGTGTCAATACGTCATGAATAGAATGCAGCAGCAGTTTTCTGTTGGGGATTTGTCATGTTGTGCCGCACCGCATCCAGTGTAGACCATAGATATGTATATATATCTATGGTGTAGACAGCATCACTGATTATAATGAGTTCCATAGTATTTTGTCATGCCGCGCCACTCGCGTCCGGTGTAGACACGGTGTCACATTGGTTTTGCTTTGTTTCACAGAACTAATTGTTGCCTGGGTTGCGTACGTATGTGTGGGGCGGAGCTATCAAAGTAGGGGGCGAGACCCTTTTGGCGTAGGGGCGTGTTTGTTTTGGTGATTTCAAATGTCAACATTGGCTACCAGAAATCGCTTACCCCACCTTTAAAGTGTGAATCATGGATAGTTTTTGGTGCAATAGAGATTTCAACCAAAAAAAAAAGCCACCAAAAGTCACCTTCTCAACACTGCTCCAGAAGGCACGGACCTCCTTGGCAATAGAAGAAGCAACTCTTCTCAGTTTGGCCTGCTCCTCACGTTTCGCTCTCTCTTCCTTCTGTCTTAGCTCCTCATGGTGGCGCATCACCATCCGTACTACCTGAAAATGAGTCAATTGGTGAGATGCTCTATTAACCTAACATTAAAAAAATAATAAAATACAAATAGCATGTTTCCAATAGGAAAGTCTGAATGTAATGCTTACCTTTCGGGCCACTCCTCTTTTCCATCGCCTCTCTTGTGCAAAATCTGCAGAAAGCCACTGCATTTCCTCACAGAGGTAATCCCACTGTACTTTGGGCCTTACTGGTTCGGTTATACGAGACAGACGTTTTAGGGACCAGAAACCTTCACGTTTTAGTGCAAGGGTACGATGTTCTATTTCTGCTTCCTGTTTAAAGTATTACAAAAAAATAAGAATAACCATCCATTACAACCATTAAATCACACTATTTCTGAAAGTAAAAGATTAAATGTGTCCTTCTCTTACATGTTTTGCCAGTTCTGCCATGTCTGTATGCTTTGGTGTGGATTTCGGGGTGGTTGTCTGCTCTGACTGAGAACAGCCACCAGAACCCTGGGAGGAAGTGGAGGGCATGCTTTTGCCATGAGAGTTATGCACAGGTGAGGCCCTGCCTATGTGAGAACGCATCCAGTCACCAGATGAGGGAGATGGAGATGGACATGGAATGGGGGAGGTGGAAGGGGTAGAGCCTGCTGTAACCTTGCCTGCAATCCATTGGCAAACCTTGGGAAAGACAAATAAAACAGTGCATCTGACTGCGTGACTGCACAATATTATTCAGCATGGAGTATAAAAGGCTCAGACTGCCCGTCTATCTCACTTACAACCAGCCAGGTATCCTTCATATCTGGCTGCATTAAAATACCTACATCGATCAAATCTTTCACCTCAACAGCATCGAGAGCCTCTGCTCTCACTTCCTGCCTCTCTTCCACATTCACGATATCTGGAGTATCATTCAGGCATATCTGAATCTGTGAGAGTTTATAATCAGTTGGAATGGAGCTGATTCAACAGCACTTTCACTGGCACCTGAAAGCATTACAGAATTAGCCAAGCTACTTAATAAATGGACAAGCAAGGGGTGGAAGTTTAAAAAAAAATTCCGCAGAAATTGTCTAACTGTACCACAGCCGCAGATGAGTAGGTCTACATATAACTTAAAAGAAATGAACTAAATAAATACCTGAATGTGATGAAGCACCAGTCTCTTCCGTGATTTCCACTTCCAGGATGCTGAGATCAAGGGTACCGCTGCATCTGAGGGTCTAAAGATAAAATTATTTGTAAAATCAAGCCTAAAATCCTAAAGAAACAGCGAGCGCATATTCCGACATATGAAAGAGAGCTTTCCTAGAATGCAAAGTATAGTTGAATAAGTAATTTCCTCAAAACCCATCTGCTCTACGGAGTCAGTGGTTAAAATGCAAGAGCAGCCTAACAATTCAGAGCTAACACAGGTAAAAAGAGCATTTCTCATTGACTTAATACACAAATTTACGGACAAAACTCTCGTTTAGCAATATAAGAAATTCATAAGAATGTACAGTTATTATTAATTCCTTCAAACAGCCGGCTTCTATAATACAGGAATATATAGAGCACATACTAAAGGAAATAAAGTATTGTCATTTTTAACTGTAATATTAACTACACACAACTTTTAACACACACACACACACACATTACCTTAACATCAACTGTTAAAAATACAAATTGTGTTGTATACCCGGGCAAACCGTCTCATTCAGTACATTAGTGCTTCACGTTCGGCTAGCATTTAGCGATGAGTTATCACGGATTCGTTATTCTCCTACGACTGCTTATAAACTTAAGAAGATAGGATAGCAGTTAACGTTTAATACCGAATATGGATAACAAATGTAGCCGGCAGTTCTGTATGCATGATGCGGGTGAACACACATGGGCCTTTAGCAGGCTAGCAAAGCTAATTCACAGACGTTACAATGGAGCCGACACGATAACGTTTCATTTTTGTTGTTGGCGTTTAAATGACAGGGAGCTAACTTACAGTCCTAAACTGTTTTGTGTAATAATACGTGAGAGGGCGTCTGTTATTATATTATCTTCTGACTCAGACAAACATAGAGATATATAACGTTATAAATACACACACCGTCTCGAGCTCTCACGCGCGCGCTGAACACACTGCTCGAGCTAAGAGCGCGCGTGCTCACATCGGCTTCCGTGAGAAGTTATGCAATGCTCAAGAACAAACTATGATTCATCATAATCCATATCGAGGGGTTTTAAAGACTTGTCACTAAACATAAACCTATTACTGGTCATTTTCTTATACACCCATTACTGGAACGACCTCTTGACGTCACCGCGCGGGGTCACGCGAAGCCGATTCGCAATCTCTTAAAAACAAAAAAAAAGATTCGCAATCTCGAGAGTCGAATCTTTTCAAAATGAAAGTATACGAAACGGTTGTTCTTTTAAATAAAATTATAAACTTTGTAAACTTGACAAGACATATGTAGTGTATTTTAGTACTGATGTATGCTATTTATATTTGGGCTCCAAATGCCTTGACATTATAAATTAGGCTACATAAAATTACAATAAACAAACATATTAATATAAGGTAATAAAAAAGGTAATAAACAGCCATGTGTGCCTACATATAGATCTGGAGAAGTTTTAAAGCATGAAATACGCCAAGAGGAGATTTCAGGGACCACTGGATGACAAAGAATCACTGAATCGGTTCCTAAACCGGTTTTCGGTTCGAAAGAACCGACACACAAAAATGAGTTGGACTTTCAATCACAACATTCAACAATTGTAGTCTGTTATGTTGTACTACATTCTAGATTAGCGGAATCGTCAGGATTTTAGTAATACGTTGGTTTATTTGAAATGTTATATGAAAATCCACTCAATAAGGACACATTAAACACACTTGAGGGATAAAGTAACGCACAAAATTATAGGCTAACTTGGTTGCTGTTGCACTTGCAGTGACAGACGACAGTTTCGTTTTCAGCTCGCGGTCTCAAAAGTGTGCAGTGCTAAATAATCGGAACCCTTCAAATTTGCTAAGGATTTTGGTGCAGCTGCATTAAAAGTAGATAACTAACATGAATGCGCGGTTGATCCCATCGAGTCAGCTCAAAAGGGCCGTACTGTTAATTACATTACAAAACCGATGAATACTTCACCCCGACTGCTTGAAAGCTGTTTTTATACAGTCTATGCTTGAAAGTCAACTTGTCCCGCCATGTCCCAATCCCCCCCAAGTGACCCCCTTTTCCCCACTCCTCCTCCTCCCACCACTTCCTCCCCAGCACCCCCTCCTCTCACCACCGCCATCTTAAGTTCCCACCTACCTGAAATTTCCGAGCACTTTTCTTTTACTAAATTCTTGCTGAAGGAGTCGCCATCCGCTTCAAATCGTACTCAATCCGTGTTGAGACTACTCCAAACGGTCTCTCGGTACCCAGTGAGGTACTGGCAGGTTCGTTGGATCAAGTTAAAGACCGCTCCGAGAGAGACTGGGTCCGGAATCGCTGAATCTAGCGGTTGTGGGGAGGAGACTTTCGACGCAGCGAAATGGAGGAACGAGCGACTGCTGACCAAGAACAGACATCTCGCGAGACGTGCTTCAGCGCGCGCTGCACTCACTGCAGGCTTCTGCTGCACACATCTTAGACGTTACTGGAAATTCGCCTTGTTTTGTATTTATTACATGTAAATATCAAACAGAACCACGACTTGTTTGCACGTAATTTAAGATATGTAAAAAAAAAAAAAAAAAAAAATTTAAAAAAGAATTTAACTACTTTTTAAAATTATATCTCTCACTGTGTAACTTAGCTGCCAGCAGTTTGACAAGGTACAAATTACTGATATTATATAATTAATCAATTTTAGAACAAATTAAAGATTTTTTTTCTTCTCCAGACAACAATCAAATGTCTTGATAGATGTTTATGAGCCTAGATACAATTTTTGATCTCATGGATTATAGTAACGATTAAGTCTAAGATGTTTGGTGCACATGGATCACTTAAATTAAAATAAAATGGGCTAAGTCCTGGTATAAATCTAGATAGATGGCCCTGAAATTAGGTGACAATAACACGCCATTTATATCTACACAATGAATCAATACACTACCACACATGAAAATAACCAACCATTTTTAATAATTAATCTTTGTGGTTTTCTTTTCAAGGGGAGGGGGACATATTTAAAATGTATAAAATTGTTTTGCTCAAATAATTAATCCAGAATGCCCTGTCTCTCAAGAGTCTTTCTAATCCTATAGTTTAGCTGCAAGTACAAGACGTGCACTCCTTTTGTCCAGTCGACAGATGCCTTGTTTCGCTCCGTGTGTTTGGGTGATGGTTGTTGGAGACTTCCAAAGGCTTCAACTGTGGAGAACATAGACATACCACCCACACACCTCCCAAATTATGAAGGTATACAGTTCACTGAACCGTAGAGGCTGGCTTTGATACATCCTCAGTACACAGGCTTGAACATAAAGCAGTATTTTGGACCAATATCACTGTAGTGCTTTGCTGGACAATAATAATCACTGACTCGTTTCAACAAGTGAGTGCATTTGGTGAGACCTGAAACATGACATTATAACATAAACAGTGAATATATTTATTATGGAAGGTAATTAACGTTAACAATAATTATTACAAAAGCAATATCACTAGTCTACTATATTCTGGCCCAGCTCTTGTACGGAGTCAGACTAATGAATGGGAGACAATTCTTTCCCTTTGAATTTTAAAATATTATCCAACAAGATGTACAGTTCATAACTTTTTTTTAAAGAATAAAATAAATCTTAAGAAGTTAATTCTGATGTTCATGGAAGTTGTCTGATGGATGACTTGAATATTTAAAGCAGAATGTGGACCATGTGTTTCTTTTAATTCATACATTTCCCAACAGTGCTAATTCAGACAATGAGAAGTACTCAACTACTTTGTCAAGGGTCCGATTTCTCTTTCCTCAAATGCAAAGCTGAGGACCATAACTCTACAGTAGGTTTTCCTTAAGTTCACCTAAACAAACAAGTTCACAATTTTTGATCCATCACTCTTCAACACAACCTGTCTTCATATTAGTAGCAATGAATAGTCTTTGAACATCCACAGGCCTCTTTGTAAAGAAAACCCTACATAAAAACCCGGGGAAAACAGCAAGAGAGTACCTTAATTGCACCAACTTAACCACAGTGGATAAATATATAAAAACAGCCCTGGGAAGTGTCTCCGTTCGCTCCCCAGGTTGTTTCAAAACTTGTGTATGGTCACTGAAGCTTAGCTCTTTTTGAGTGTCCTGCAAAATCTTGCCATTTAACGAGCAGTTTCTTCAGCACAGCAGTTCTGGAAGCTGCTCGAGCTTTACCTAGTACTATCTGGACTCGCCGTCTTTATGTGTGGTAAAAAGGGCCAAGTCTCCTGCTCCACCAAGTCTGGGGCCACGGGGTGGAGTAGAAGAAGATCTGTTCACCGACGGAATTAGAGGTGGTGGAGCCCCAACAGACAATGCCCCAACTAGACCTGGTGCCTTGGCTAGAATGCCATTAGGTACGTGAGAGTGTGAATGCAGAGGTCCCAGTCTAGAGTAGAGGCCAGGGTGATGTGATGCTTGTGCAGAGGCTCCAGCTGGTTGGAGGTGAGAGTGGGATAGCAGCCCTGCGTGAAGCTGTTCTAGGTG